AAAATATATCAATCAATAGTATTTTTTTTCAAAAACTAGAGATAACCTAATGCTTAAAAAAAATCAAGTACAGCACTCAAGATAAACTTTAACTTGTTCATTGAAATGCAATAAAAGAAAAACCTCAAGATACTGTGGAAGAATTATCTGCACGTTAAAATCATATACCATAATATAATAATGAAAAATAAGAAATATATATTCACATATCATATGTTAGGTCTATGGGGAAGTTCTTTCCGATAATGTTATTTCAAATTTCAATTCTCGTGCATGTGTTCATGTGAGACATATATGGCTGTCTGTCTTTATCATTGCATTTATGCATATGTGTTCTTCGAAACTAAAATAGAAGTGTCATGTCTTTATGTAGTGAAATGCGATTGTCTAAACATGGTTACTGATAAAGTTCATTTACAACAATTTTCACTTGCAGTGTAGTTCTACTTATTAGTCAGTGACTTGGCCTCCTGTTCATAGATTGTGAAGTTCTCATGGAAAGGTGAAATAAATGAAATAAAGGATTCATACAAATTGATGAAAGATCTAATATCTGCATCTTCATGTTGTACTAGTTTTTACTGACTACATTAATGTGATTTAGACTAGTACTTTAAAAAGCAGTCATAAATGCAGTTTCAAATTTGGTTATTTTCTTAATTAATCCTGCTGTTTCTGTCTTTGTAATCACCTTCTTTGAACTGTCATTTAAAATTTATTTCAGAGTATTGTGAGTATCTTTCCAAGACTTCAGTATAAACCCTTGCAAGCATCATCTCTGCATGACCAGTTCATGGATGATATATTCTTTGGTGTCATTTGTAGATCATTCTTCTTCAGTCTCTCATAACATGTCATGGATACCAAAAAGAAAATGTAGATTTCTTAGAAAACTGAACAAAAACATGTGAAATAATTTGTAGATTCATTACAACAAATAGGCACTGAAGTTTCAACTAGATTCAGAGAATGGGCTGAACGGTATAAATTCAGCAAATCTGTTTGCATTCTTAATCCTTACTTGGAGACTGGTATAGACTCATAACATTTTTGCAGCATTATCTTATGACTGGCCTCTACAATCATCTAAATTAATTTCAAGAGATGCTGAGGTGTTAGTTATAGCAATGTAAAATTCCTTGTTTTTATGTCCAATATCTGACATGAATGATGGGAATATCTCTGTTGGTGCTCCACATTCTTAGACGTATCTCATGGCATTTGATATTTTATCTACATGTGAGATGTCAGGTGTTGAATCCAAAATTATTGAGAGATATTTAGCTATCCGTATGTTGGCAGATATAACTTCCCTGCACTTTTGAGCCATTATATATACCAGAGGTGGCCAAATATGGCTTGCGAGCCGCGCGCGACTCTAGCAGGCGAGTGGTGCGGCTCTTGTGCAAATAAAATATATACATTTAAACTAACATTACTAAATATCCTTCATTTCAAACCACTTTTACTACTTTTAAAATGATGCAAACATAGATTTGTGGTTTTGGGGAAATCTAGTTGTGGCTCTCGAATATTCCTGAATTCCAACATGCGGTTCTTAATGGCATGAAGTTTGTCCACGCCTGATATATACCATGTCTTTGTATATCTTAGACAAAAGATAATTTTTTTTTTTTTATGCTGTCTGGTTTCCTATTCTTTAGATGTTCCTTCTTCCTTCAAGAATGGATCAAATCCGTCCAATAGTTCCACTGTCATTAAAAAGTATTGGTTGTGACATGATCCGAGAACTTCATCAGAGCCTCTCTGCGAAAGACCATGGCTTTTAACTTAGGATGATAACAGAGCATTGTAAAACTTCTGCCCAATATTGTTTTTCTTGAGTAATCTGTGCATTTAGTACCTTGCGTAAATTCTTATTAGATCCTGAGAGCAGCAACAGAAATTTTGGGATTTATAGATCATTCTTGCTGCTCTGTGCATTGTTTCAGGTTTTTCCAATCATTGAATCTTTTTATTTGTGCAAAAGATGTACCTGCTTTGGATAATAAATGACAAGGTCCACAGTAAATACTACCATTTGTTTGAGAATAGATTATCTATTGTCAGTTTGAAATTTCACCATTCTGAAGCTCTCTTTTGAAGATTGTTGAACTTAAAAGATGAGTTTTATTTTTGTAGATTCATCTTGAATTCTAAGAAAATCAGAATCTGCATTTTGAGAGTAGCCATTTCGCTCATAAAAATCCACTTTGCAGGGTCTTTGTTAGATTTAAAAAATTGAGATAATAATGATAATATCCGTTGATCCTTCTTCTCCCGTCACTCATCATGGTCTTCTGTTGATTTTTCACCTTCACAAAAGGCTGAAAACACTCATCTCCTTTAGTATTACTGGGTACATCATCTTTGAATTCTTCAGTCGGTGGTTCTAAAACACTTTGGGGGAAAAAGAAATAAATTTTTTTTAGTTCGCTCCATTATTTCCTTTTGTTTTCTTTCTTTCTCTTCTGACTTTTTTTTTTTTTTTTTGTATTTCAATCTGCTAAATTGCTTTTTACCTTCTACCATTTATATGTATAAGATCTATAAAGTAGAAAAATAAAAGAAAAAATTAAAGCAAACCATAAACAATAAAATTATGCTATGTTTTAAATGTATTTGGACTTTCTTGTGATTCTCGTTAAACTCTGATATATGAACATAGATTTATAATCACATAGAACTGTGTAAATAAGAAAACATATCAACTTTAACCTTTTCGCAACGGCACACCTTTGTTTAAGATGCTCGTACGGGACAGAAGGGAATCAAAGGCAGTTATTGTACAGGACGGAGGTTTTGTATCGCTAAGCCTAATTTTATAAACAAAATCAGAAAAAAAAAAGTTTCGCTTCTAGCATCGTAATTTTTGTATCATTTTAGATTATTACTTGAGCTCTTATATAGGTTAAAATTAGCACTTAATAACATTTTTTTTTTCTTTATTTTACATGAAAATATACTTAAAAATTTCCTTATCTTGTAAAATAATTTTTGGAAATGCGCTATTCAAGTTATCCCAAAGTTTTAATTGATAAAATCCATCAATAAAGTTTAAAATTAATAAAACAATGCAATAAAAACTATTACAGTAGAAGTAGTAACAAAATGTAAAATGAAGACTGTGTAAATCTCGAAGCATGAGAAGTATCACTTTCTAAACTCTTAGAAAATATCACTTTTCTAACTCTTTAGAAAATGAATCATACTCTCATCTGCGTTAATAATGGTTTTTGACCATACGAGGGTATTCTTTCTCTGATAAATAGCGTCTTTTCGCCATAATAGACTGGAGGTGAGGCTTTCTGAAATAAAAGAAGAGAACCGGAAATTATATCTGAAGGGCAATGCAAAATGTAACTACTCCACATACTAACACTGAAAGCCCATACATAGTAAAGGAAAAAATAGAATAAAAAAAGGAATTGGATATAAATCAGACACGCAAATGTTTTCATTAGCATGCAGCGATTTAAAGAGCTCACCCCTGTTTACACTTTCCCTCCCCCCACCCTGGCAAGAGCTGATGAATAAAATACCAAAGTCAAGCAGAAGATATCAAACTAAAGGTCAGGAATTTAAAACTGTGTTCATTTCAAAAGTAATGGACATAGGATGCGATCTAGTGGCCTTCAGAAAAACGTTCCAACTTAAAATGCGTATACGCATCACCCGTCCTCTGAATGCAGTCTCTAGCGATGCATGGATGGGACGCCCGGCTGTAAACGTTCTTAGGGAATGCGTATATGGGACGCCCGTCCTGAAAGGGTTAAACATAGAAAGAATTTTCCTGAAGGAAATGTACTCTTGCAATAACCTGAGATAAATAAAAGAAGTTGATAGTAAAAAATATTACCAAAAACTGTTGCAAAACATTGTAGCTAATTATTATAATTTAGGGCAATAATTTCATGTATTTTGGTAGAAAAGGATTAATGTGTAAATGTGAAAAATATCTTTCAATATTCATTATAATTTAAAATGAAAAATTAGCAAATTAGATGTACTTACAAGTCTGATCTCAAATAATTGGCCTGTTAAATAATTGGCCTCTGTGTCTTAAAAGGCACTTTTTATATTATGGATTACTGTACAGTGTACTTGTGCACTTTTGAATTGCACATATAGATTTGAAGGTGTTTATTTAAGTTAAAGAATTGTGAATGATACCATGGAATGAGGCCAAACACCTTCAAAAGGCGGTTGGTGCTGCCTTTTGCTGTCATATGAGCTCCTGCTCTGTGATAAACTTTGATACAAGGAGAGACTATATTTCATCGATATGATTTAAGAGATGGATGACCAGTGCTGCCTTTGTGCTTTGCCGACGAGCTACCATCTTGCAAACCATTACTGAAAACCGAGTAGAGAGATAAAAAATTCAGCGAAGTTTATGCTCCATTTTTAGTGGCTCCAGAAAAAATTTCCTCCTACAGAAATTTACATTTTGTAATATTTTATAAAATTTAGTTTAAATTTAGTTCACAACAATTGTATTTCGTGATACTATTTATTAAACTTTGTACACAGTAATAACATTCTCAGGGATGCAGCAGGTAAATAACTGATGGGTTTAGTCATTCTCAACAAAATGATTAATGAGCAAGTATTTGGTCATTTGAGGGGATTTTTCCTGCCTTGGTCCTGATTAATGTAAAGGTTTTTATTTCGAAATTTTTTTCATTTTGCTCAGTTTTTGTAGTTGAGTACTGAACATTTTTGTTTTTGTCCAGAAATAAATATTGCTGAGAGTATTTTAATAAAGTTGACTGCATATATGGAAATAATAGAGGTTAATTTTTATTATTTGCATTTGAATTATGTAATTGTAAGGTAAAAAAATGTATTCATCTTTTCTGAATGGTCTTATATGCTTTTATTTGGAGATATGTACTGTAATTTATTTATCTTTGGTATATCAGAATGCATTTAATGTATATTTGACATGTGATGTGCCATAAAATTTAAATTTTTCTGAAAAAAAAAATTACTTCTAGTTCTTCAGTTGTGTCTCAGTATTTACTTTTGTGGTCCAAACAACATGGCTGTGAAAATGAGCTACAAAGGTTACATCAGCTTGTATTAGACAAAAAACAGCTAAAGGAACAAGTCAGTGAAATTAAGACTATCAAAATGAATTTTAATTCCATGTTATATTCTAAAGCATATTATAATCTTAATATATTGTATTTTATAGGTTAAGCAGAAAGTCATACCTCTTCAGTCAGCTATTCATATGCTGAAACAGAAAGTGCTTTTATCAAAACGTCTACAAACAGAATGGGAACAAGCAGCTGCAGAATGCTCAAGTCTTGTTGGCTGGTATTATTTTTTAAAAGTCTCCCACAAATTGGCTAATACAGTGTAAAACATTTTAATGCATGATTTTTTATAATGTAATGCATTAATCTAACTAATCTGATTTTAGTCCCTTTTTGTTTTTTAAATTAGAGTTTTTTATTAATTAGACTAAAAACGTAAATGCTATACTATGCTATATATCATTGCAATAATGAATGTTTTTGTTTTGATACTGTATTTTAATTTTGCAGTATGTTCATAAAGGTGATAAATCTATATTTTTGTAACATTTGTTTGGAATTATATATTATTTGCTATCTGAACAAAAGAAAAAATTATTTTTGAATTTAATTATGTATCAGTGTTGTATATTCCAAACTGGCTAGGCTATCTCCTAAGTCAAGTCTTGATAATATTTTTATCTACATCCTTTCCCTGAATTGGGACTATTGTCTAATGGAAACATTTTGAGCACTTCTTGATCTTTGTGATAGATTAAGAGAAGAGATCAAGCATAGTTCAAAAAAAGTTTAATGTTCGGGAAATTCTCTCATCTTTGGTAAATTTTAAACCATAGAGAATGGTAATTTAGAAGTAAAACAACAAAAATCAGTGTTATATTTTCAAATTTTCACAGGACTAGTTTCGATGGCTTTACTAAACCATGCGCTTTTGCAGCTGAATTTTGTGTTTTGCAGCTTTGGCAGCTGATAATGCTGATTTTTGTTGTTTGACTTCTAAATTAATATTTGTTCAGCTTGTTATTGTGTCTTAATCATAGAGAATGGTTTCAATCAGTTGTCTTGGAACTTAAAATTGTATTCAAGAAGAAATAATCATGTAATGGTGTATTTTATTATTTAACTATATATTATTAACTTTTTTAACTATCTATAATTGAATTAAATGAGTAAATTTTTTCGTAACATTCAGTGGAAAAATGAGCTTAAAATAAGACTGGCCTCATTAATTTAAATTGTGCAGTTATTGTTTTTGACAAATGTTAAAAATTTCTTCATTTCATAAAAGCATTCATAAAAGCATGTATAGATTGCAAAAAATTTATAATTTTTTCAGTTTGAAGAAAGGGGATAAAAATTATTTGTGCAAAGAATTTTTAAAAGATGAATTAATTTAAATTAATTAAGATTAATTTAGAAAAGATTAATTGATATGCTTTTTTTTTTTTTTTTTTTTTGAATTAGAATGTACATTTAGAGTTCATGGCGAGTCTGAAAACTTTATTATATGTAGAGTATCAGAATTTTTCACTTCCAATAATTCAGTTTTAACTAACCATAAAAAAAAAGTATGTTTTTAGAAAAATATGGTCTGCTCTGTAAAATGATTTTTTTTTAATATAAAAAAGGGGCAGAATGCTAGTGTAGTAATTAATAGAAGTCAGATTACTGAAGTCATCTTTTGTTACAAATTTGCTTGGCTGATGTGACATATTCAAATTATCTATTGCACTCAGGCAAGCCAAAGCTGACAAAAACTGCCAGTAGTGTAACAAAAGGCACCACTTAATGTGATCATGTTTCGCCAGGACTATTTTGATAATATTAACCGAATGATAACTTTAAAGTGATGAGAAAAAACAGTTTACAAAATATCAGTGGAGTTTAACAAATTCAATATAAATTTACTAAAGACTTTTAAATACTATGTACTTTCACAGCATTTTAATTAGAAAAAAGTATGTAATATTTGATTGCCTACAGTTATTATGTAAAAGTTCAGAATAAAAAATGAACTTTTGCATAATAACTGTAGGCAATCAATTATTACTTATTACAAATTTCCTAGAACACATTATTCATAAAAATTATGAAGCTTAAACAAGATATTTTAGTGCAGAAAAGCAAAAGAATTTTGAAATCTGCTTTATCATTTGCTAATTTCGGTCCAGTTGCTCTTTCTGTAACTTGGAAAATGAGATTTTTTGTACATAGTTACCTTAACTAAAAATCAAGCTGCTTGGTGAGTTAATAATTTATTTGGTGACATGTCTTTGACAGTTGGCAATTTCTATGTTGTATTTACATATTATTTGGTGATTTTATCTTTTATTTGCTGATTTAATTTCAGATTAAAAAAAAAATCATTCTGTAATAATTTGATAATGTTAATGTTTTTTTAATAATTAGATAATGTAGTTGATTGTAACAAATGAAGTATTTTCCTTGTTTTTATACATAGATGGGTGAAAACTCAATACCAGTATCAAAACGGATAAGATTAACTGCAATATCATTAAGTGGCAGCTACTCTATTTGCATTTTTCTTATGTCAATATAAATTTACATGAAGGCTTTTTACACACATAACTGAAACTTTAAAAAAATACATTTTGTACAAGTATTAGGTGCATATAAATTGGTATTTTAGCAATGGAAAAAATAATTTGAAGAAATATTACAGCAATTCACACATAAGTAAATTGTTATTATGTGGCTATAAATAAATTTTTAAAAATACATTATAAATAAATTTTGTATTACATATAGAACAATCAGATGGGTTTATTCTCAGACTGTTTTGTATGGGTGAATCATTGTATGATTCAGTACTTGAAAGCTTTAACCTTATAAAAATTACTTTTATCTGTTGAGAATTATGAATTTAATATTTGAAAGTAAAAGTCTAGTAGAGGAATGGGAGCTGAGGTAGCCTGGCCTTGAAATGCATTTCATGAACAGAATGGCCAAAACTGTGTAATTATTTATGAACTGAATTTTTGTTTCATTATAATTACTTTTTTTCCTTAATTATAATTATCTATTGAAATTTCAAATATTTCATCATGAATTGTAATAAAAATATTGCCAAAAGTTTATTTTACCAGTTAAACAATTAAAATTTTATATGCCGAACATATTGAATTAGCATATAAGTAATTTTCCCCAAGTAGTGTACCTTAAATATGAACTTATTTAATTGGCAACTCTACTGTATTAGACAACTTCATATGCTTTGCAGTAAATAATCGTAACCTTTTCATGAAATGTATATACATGCTTTTTTCTAGTGTTGAGAGAGCCGATACATATGTTAGTAGGATGCGAGATAGCTGGCAGTCTTTTGTCAAAGATAAAAGTATGAGAGGTAAGAAAAATCAGTATTTAATGTATGTTATTAGGGTACAGAAAATTTATTGTGAAAGAAAAATTTATTGTACTGTATTTTTTATTTTATTCTTAAAAAAAATTAGCTTGAGGAAATTATGACTGTTTTATTATGTTGGTTCTTTAAACTAGTTAAATAGTGTGAATGAAAAATGCAGTTTTGTGCCTAAACTTTTTTAGATATATTTTAGTAATTATATTTAATAGTCTCATAGCAGAAAGTAGTTCAACTTTCACCCTAGTATACAGCAAGAATTAAAATTTATCTATGTGCTTTTGTAAAAAAAAAAAAAAAAAAAAAGTTTAAAACGTTTTTAATAGTTGAGAGAGAGATTATGTGTAATGTTTTAGCTTTATTTAAAGCTTCCAAGAGAAATCATTCTTTGACAACAATGAAATATGTAAGATGTATGTAAATTTTTTAACATCTAAAAAAAGGCATTAATTTTTGCAATAAAAAATCTTTATCTTTCCCTATGTATTGCATCTGATATCTTTCTTTTTTCTATTTCTCTCTCATTCATATCGTAAGTGTATATTGCTTTATTAATAGTGATAATATATGTTTTAACGTGGGTTGATTGATTATTAACCTTTTTAACGAGGGAAATGTACTAGGAAAGTCAGCTGTGCCTTGTCTTGAACCATTGACTTTCCAATAACTAATTGGATATCCTAACCACTTATATCACAAGGGTAAGAACATTTGCACATGCATGGGAGGTTTGTGACAATTCCTTACATTCTTTCCTACGTAAATAATGACTGGTATGAAACCCAAGACCTAACTAACCAAATCAATGTAATTATAAATAGTTGTGCAAATTTTTAGTCCAAATACTACTTACAGTGATTACAGTACAAAGTCTGTAATCCGGACTCATCGGGACTTTGGCGTTTCTGGATTGGGGTTTTTCCAGATTATAGATCATCAATTTAAATCTGGTAAGATGGCATCCATAAGTTATACAATTAAAAATATGACACCGTAATTTGTAAAATAAAGAGCAATTATGATCTATAGGGTACCAAAATTTACAAAAAAAAAAAAAAAAAAAAAAAAAAAAAAAAAAAAAAAGCTTAATATTTATTTGTTTACTTTATTAAACATTTCTTTCAATGTAAGTTGTTTCGTTTTTTGTGCTAATACTTTTTCTTTAATTCTATAAACAGACATAATTTCTTGCTCAGTTATAAAGTTCCACTGTTCAAGTCCTGTAATTGCTGTGTCGAGAATACCGACTAACTTGTCAATCGAAATTTTTTTGTTTTCAATAACCTCTGTCACTTTCTTCACTATCGGAAGCGGTATTTTCTGGATCTAGAACCATACTCCAGATTTCGCTGTCTGTTAATTGATTTATGATTCATGATTGCCGTTGCAATGAAAAACTTCTGTTATATCATCTTCATTTATTATCGCTTCTCCACATTTCTTTACAAAATCCAAAAACTGGAAAATTTCACCTTTAGTTTGCGATGTTCGAAAACTTTCAAATTCGCGGCTATCATCTTCATCACCCTCACCATGAAATATAGTAGCTGGCCATAAATTATGCCAAGCATTTTTTTAACGTATCTGGAGACACGTCCTCCCAATGCGCATGCCCATGTGTAAACGTGCATTAATGCGCATGTGTAAACGCATTATGTGCATTCGTAAAGCATACAAAAAAAAGTTTGTTGCTTTTAGGTCCGGATTATAGATTATTCCGGATAATGGACATCCGGATTTTGTACTGTACAGTAAGACCCCGCTTAACGCTGTTTCGTTTAGCGCTGTTTCGGTTTAGTGCTCTTTTATTTCACCCCGGGGATTCTCCGAAATTGTGCGCTAGGTTTCCAAATAACATATCCGAAACAGTGTAGTTGTGTTTCTTGCTTGGTGGACGCATTTTTATCATTTGAAACATTTGTTAACATTATTGTAAGTTTAAATTTGTATAATACTATAACGATTAATACAGTGACAAATATTATGATCTTTAGTTTTTATCATGGGTGATAATAAAAAACAAGAAAAGAAAGCAACCAGAAAAAGCATTTCACTGGAAACTCAAATGCAAGTGATTAGAAGATTAGATTCTGGTGAACGTCAATCTTAAATTAGTGCTGCATTGATTTTGGCAACTTCAACAATAAGGACAATTCTTAAGAATAAAGAAAAAATACTGTCATCGGCAACTGCAACTACATCAAGCTCTGCAACTAGAATTACCTGTTCTAGAAATAACATTATAGAGGAAATGGAAAAACGACTGTCTATATGGATTGACGACGAAATCGAACGCAATATGCCATTAAGCCAATCTATCATAATGCCTTCTTAACAAAAAGGCAGAAAATTGGAAACCCAGAATAGACTGAATGATCTGACTGAGAATTTTATTTGTTTTTAAAAGTATATGCGTTTATATTGTTTTTTTTTTGTAAGAAATAAATGTTTGATTTTATTTTTATTAAAAAAAACATTATTAAATTTAATGCCTAACCATTTTTTATCCGTCTTCCCCTAACCCCATTATTTACATGTTAAGATAGCCTCGCTTAGCGCTGTTTCGCATTACGCTCTACTTCGATGGAACGTATACCCCGCGTTAAGCGGGGTCTTACTGTATTAAATTTTTTTTTAGTTTGGAGAACAAGAAAAATAATCTATGCCTTGCCCAGATTTGAACTATGGAATTCAGCTGCCAATTTGATGTGTTAATGTAGTATGTATGTGTGGGAGGATGTGATACAGTCAAAATTCTTTAATCCGGACACATCGGGTCTTCGGCGATTCCAGATTATAGATCATCAGTTTAAATCTGGTAAGATGGCATACAGAAATAATAAAATTAAAAATATGAAACAATAATTTATGAAATAAAGAGCAATTATGATCTAAAGGGTATCACAATTTACAAAAAAAAAAAAAAAAAAAAAAAAAAAAGCTTAATATTTATTTGTTTACTTATTAAATATTTCTTTCAACGAGCGCATGCGTAAAGCATACATTACGCTTAGTCGAAATTAGAAAATTGCAACCAGAAAACTATTTGATGTGTACACTGACTACCAATAAGTATTTGGACACCCGTGATAGAAAAGAAAAATTAACGTTATTCAAAATCAATAGTTGGTAGAGCCTCCACGAGAGGTAATTATAGCGTAGACCCTCCAGGGAATACTTTCCACAAGTCTTTGTATGACAGCTAGTGGTATTTTCTTCCCCTCGGCTTGGAGAAGACATACAAGTTCCTTCACCGATTTTGCACGGGTAGTGCACCCCTGAATTCGGCAATGCAACTCATCCCAGAGGCTCTCGATAGGGTTCAGGTCTGGACTCTGGGCAGGCCAGTCCATTCGATGAACTCCATTCGCACCATACCAAGCCTTGGTTAACGTCGAAACATGACAACTGGCATTGTCGTCCTGAAAGTAACAGGGGTCCAACATGTAAAACTGCCACAACGTAGGAAGCACGTTGTCATCCAAAATAGTGCAGAAGGCATCGGAGTTGCGCTTACCATGAATGAGGACCAAAGGTCCCAACCCATACCAGGAGAAACACCCCCAGACCATAATTTCACCTCTGCCGAACTTGACTGTTGGCACAATGTTTTCTGGCAGGAGATGTTCTCCAGGTAGATGCCAGACCCAGACGCTGACATCCGAACTGTAAAGGGTGAACCTTGATTCGTCACTCCAAAGAACCTGTTTCCACTGATCTACGGTCCAATTTCGATGTGCTTTGCACCACATTAACCAAGCAGCGCAGTTGGACTTTGGGATCAAAGGTTTATGGGCAGCAGCACGACCATGAAAATGAAGCAGATGTGCTTCCTTACGGATGGTATTCATTGAAAGAATACTCCCGGATGCCTGTTGAAACTCCTCGCAGATGAGGGCCATTGGTTGGGTGCGGTTCTTCCGAATTTCTCTGGATAGCACTCGTCGGTCTCTATCTCTCAGTTTCGTTGGTCTGCCGACTTGGGGCACATTCTGACAATCACCGCTCACCTTCCACTTCTTAATCACATAGGCCACTGTCGATTTTGGGTACTTCAGATCGCTAGATATGTACCTTAAGGATCGGCCACATTTGTGATACCCGATAATTATACCTTTCTCGTAATCGGAAAGCTCCGAACTGCAAGACATTTTGCACGCAACTAAAGCCGATGCTGTTTCCTACACCATATATACCGGCAGAGTCCGTGACGTACCTTAGGACCGCAGATATCGTCATTTGCATAGGTGTCCAAATATTTATTGGTAGTCAGTGTATTCGTGATATTTATAATGACGAGGAATTTGATTTAAATCACATCAAAGATGGAGTACATTGAGATGAATTACTACATTTAATAAGGAATTATAAGCCGAATAAAATAAAAACATCTGCCCTGAAGATAAGGATAGTGCTGACAGATCAACTTTCAGTTCATTGCGCGCCACAACGAAAGTCCTCTTGACCATCTGATGGTGAGTAAATGGGATGGTAGACTCTGGACCATCCCTCAAATCGGAGTCAGAGCTGCACAGTTAGTGCTATGGCACTATACCTGTCCAGCCTATAGCGAAATTTTGATATCCTACTTACTTATACCTGGACCTGAAAACCTGATCTGTACCTGTAAAGAACTGATTATGCAACAACAGCAAATGAAATCAGAACAAGGAAGGATATTGGTCTAAACACCAAATGTCGAAAAGCTTTGTTATCTCAGGAAAAACATGTCTTTTGGGTAATATTAAAAGCTGAATTTTTTATGTTGTTAGAAATATGGTGATTCCTTGTAAGTCCAAAAGGAATACATCTGGTTTCTGTCTATATTATTAGGTGGTGAAAATATAGGTTTTTCTTTAAACAGAAGGTATGAACATATGAAATCTAAATATTTCGCATTTCATAATCGGAGGTATTCATGAATTTAAAATAGTATTTCTTTTCTTGTCATTTAATTTAAAATCTTGTAGTAGTTGAGAAATTTCAGTGAAATCAGGTGAAACATGGGCCCTTTTTTGTCCTCCTTCAGTGATAACCTAATTTAATGATTTGTGAATGCATCACAAGTAAAACTAAGAGGAGTGGGGAAAACCTTTTCAAATGGTCCAAATTAGAATGATGTATTGTTATAAATTCATCACAGCCTTAAAATGCAATTTTATTTATTATTTTTAAACTTCTATTAATTTATTTATTCTGTGTTTTCATGATCTTAAACAAGAGTGTAAATTGACCAAATCCTTCTTTCTGAATTTTTTTTTATTTAATACATGGAAAAATATAATGTGCTTTTGTGTTCCAAAAATAATATTTTAAGTGGATATTGGTACATATTTTTTTTCCAAGTATTGCATGAACTTTTTAGGTATTCCCAATATGCAGTGTCGTAATGTTAATGTGGCAGATTTGAGTCTTAGTCAACAATTTTGGCCAGCCTGTTCATCCTGGCAGTTTATCTCTTTGAATTTGTTATATCATGCATGATTCTATTTGATATTTCATAATAAATGTCCCTTGTATTACATATGATAACATTTAGCAAAATCTAAGATGAAGGAAGCCAGGAGTTCTCAAACATTTTCCCCTGTGCACACCTTTCAGTACTGCTAAGAGGTTCATTCCTCCCCTCTTTTCCAAAATTTGAAAAATACATATATATATTTATTTAGGTTTAGTCTATTTTTTAACATGTTTTATTAATTAAACAGCAGAAAATACAGAAAATATTGATAAATACCAAAACTTTAATAAAAGTAGATTGTTATGTATAAATTAAAACAAAATACTGGACCGCATTCCCTCCTGAAACTTTGAAATTCCTCTTGGTTCAGAACCTGTGCAGTAAGCTTTGTTTCATCAGTGAATGCAATGGTTACATTACAATTGCCACTTGGCTAAATCAGCATTATGAGATAGGGCCTATTACGAGTGCAAAATAGGAGAGATTCTTTATTTACTGCTACATACCTTATTTTCTGTGTTTGTTATTAACTTCTAGAGGAATTATGAATCACTCTGTATGTTTATTATTAGCATTATTATTTGAGATGTAATAGATTTTTATAGTACTATATGTTATTTTATTTATTTAAAATTCACATGCAAGAATATATTTCTTTTATTTTAGTGCTGTCTTCCCATGACGAACAGTTTCATTTCCTGGAAAAGTAAGCATATAATAGTAGTTTAAGTTTTATATATATAACCCTTCAACATACTCCCTCTGCCTATCTACATACCTCATGTTTTCCATTAAACATGCATTTCAAGCATGTTTTCCATTATTGACCTTTTCTATAGACTGAAAATGTGTTCCCTTTAATGCACATTTCACTTTTGGGAACAGGAACATGTCGCATATAGTGAGGTCTGGTGAATACAGTGGATGTTCGAGCACAACAATTCACTTCAATTTCATAGAGGGGGGATTTTGTATCAGCAAATTGTCTTGGTGCAGCATCTCTGAGTTGTTGTTCCTGAGATCTGCTGTTTCCTTCCTCATCCTTTTTCTCGGCTTGTTCAGTACAATGTAGTAATTATATTAACTGTTTAGCCCTGAAGTACCCACTTAATCATGATAATACCCTTAAAATTGGGAGAGGGGGAACTATGAGCACTTTCATTTCTGGCTTGCTCATTCAACCTGTTTTGCTGCTTGGTGAAGAGGGGATCATACAGTATGTAGATTGATGCTTTGTTTCAGAGTCATATTGTAAAATTAAATGTTTCGTGATATAATGACTTTTTCTACGAATTCAGGTTCAACTATGAATTGTGTCATGATGTCGGAGCAAATGTTTTCCCTGTTTGCTCACATCTGAGAGTTTTGATACCATATATTAAAAAACTTTCGTCATTTTCAGATCCTCATACAGATTTTACTTTTGTCAATGTCTTTTTGTCAATGTTCATCATGTCCGTTATTATCCGAATACTCACACATCAGTCATTCCATGCAATTTCATTAATTTTCTCAACCTTTTCATCAGTTTGTGATGTACCAAGTCAACTAGAACATTCATCATCTTTTCCTGACCTTCCAAAAATTGTTTGTGCTATTCAAAAACTCAAGTGTATGACATGCGATTATCACCAAACACTTCTTTCAACACTTCAAAACATTTATTTGGTGTTTTTTTTTAGCTTCATGCAAAGTTTGAGATTAATGTACATCTGAATTTTTAAGCTTATTGTGTCCTTATTGTGTTATCCAAGGAAACAATGTTCAACCCAAGCAAGTATTAACAAACAGTTAACAAGATAGAGAGATGCAATATGGCTCCACTTGTACTGGAAGCATCATTGTCAATTGCATTAATTACATACTAATTCAGGTTGATCTTTACAATATGGTAACTGGTAGTTTGGAGACATTTTGGAGGCGATAAAGGTTACTACCTGGGACTTTGGTAATAATGTGAACAGTACTCACTTCCGATTACGCATTATTTTGTGTGGGGGAAATGAGAGATCATGGGATATGTCATGTGATATTAATGGACGAATTACGGTTCTTTAATCGGAAAAGGGGGGGAATTTGGACAAGTATCTGTGGATGTATATTATTTTGTATTAAGCTTCATTGTGTGTTGTGTGAAGTAGGGTTGAATAATTTTGGGATTGTATGGCGCTGTCTAAAGTGAATTGTAGATGTGATAAAGAGAATTTTTTTTTATCAAATTCTATCAAATTCGGAAAAAAAAATCGTTCAGTAATTTTATTGAATCCATAATAAAAGCGTATCCACCACGTAAGGAAGATTCGGAAGAAGATTAGGTTAGTTAGACTTTGTTAAGAATGTGAGTAGTATTCAGTTCTGATTACGCATTATTTTGTGTGAGGGAAATGAGAGATCATGGGATATGTTATGTGATATTAATGGACGAATTATTGTTCTTTAATCGGGAAAAAATCTGGCAATTTTGTATTTGGCTTTATTCTGTGTTGTGTGAAATAGTGTTTGTGAATTTTTGGATCCCATGGCCGTAACTAAAGTGAATTCGAAATGGGTATTTAGTGGTATTGAAAAGGATAGTAATAAATGTTTTTTAAGGTTGTGCGAGAGAGAAATAAAGATGTTTTATTATGTTATTTATTTTACCTGGTATCTTGCTTTGAAAGATAAGTATGATTTTAAAGATTCTGAAACAGAAGTAAGAAAAGTGTATCCGCCACGTAATCAAGATTCTGAAGAAGATTAGGTAAGTTAGTATTTTTAATTATTTGAGGATTTTATTTTTATGCATTGTTGTAAATGTAAGGTGGAAAGAAATTTGGTATTATTGGGAAAATTGTTATTAGCAATGATTTAGTTTAAAGTAATTAGGATTGTAAGGTAATTTTATTAATTTAATGTATGTGCTCATTTATATTTTAAGTAGTGTTTTTTGAATTTAATTATATTTTTTAATGAAATAATAGTTATTTTGTGAATTTTATCTTTGTAGGAATTTGGTATACGTTTAAGTTGAAATAAACGTGCATGGAAATAATTTAAATATTTGATATTAAGTATTTGTAATGCTTGAGGTATGAATTCGTGGTGACGTGGTATAATATAATAGATGATTTAGAGCTAAAAGTTTTTGGATATTCTATTTATTTTATATGTGGAAATGTTGATATTTGTATAGGGTAAATACTTTTTCGCGATCATGTAATTTCATATATGTTTTTTTTTTACCGGGTTTAAAGATTGAGAAAATTGTCATGTATTTTCGTGAAATTTTTGTAATTTATGAGAAAAAAAGCAGTGTACATGGATATAGTGAAGAGTGTGCGCAATGCCATTTTTGTGCAATTCTGGGATGTTTTTTTAAGTAAAAATAAGTCGACGTGTACATGGTTTAGTGATATTTTTAATGAAATGATAGTTATTTTGTGAATTTTATGCTTGTAGGAATTTGGTATACGTTTTAAGTTGAAATAAACGTGCATGGAAATAATTTAAATATTTGATATTAAGTATTTGTAATGCTTGAGGTATGAATTCGTTGGTGACGTGTATAATGTAATAGATGATTTAGAGGTAAAAGTTTTTGGGTATTCTATTTATTTTTATATGTGGAAATGTTGATATTTGTAAAGGGTAAATACTTTTTCGCGATCATGTAATTTCATATATGTTCTTTTTACCGGGTTTAAAGATTGAGAAAATTGTCATGTATTTTCGTGAAATTTTTTCTAATTTATGAGAAAAAAGCAGTGTACATGGATATAGTGAAGAGTGTGCGCAATGCCATTTTTGTGTGCAATTCTGGGATGTTTTTTTTTTAAGTAAAAATAAGTCGGCGTGTACATGGTTTATGTGTATGTGTTATTTTGAAAAAACGCGTAAGGAGTATGGTATTGTGCACTTTTTCCCAATTTTGCAGTGAATATTTGTCATGATTAAGCAGTTTTGTTTGATAAAATTTCTAGCATAAGTGTAATTCGGCTAGTAGATTGTTGGAAGAAGTGTTCAGTAGATAAAAAGAAAAGAAACATGTCTTTACTTCGTGAAGACAAAATGGCGGCGGGGAAAAAAAATAGAGGGTTGCTGTAGGAGAGTTGGTTGCCAAATTTTCGCCAAAAAATCGCCAAGTTACCATAATGTAAAGATCAACCCTAATTCATCTTTACCAAGCCTAATCGCTAGGACATGTACAACCTTGTTATTTAATTTTTGGACCTCTTAGATTAGTATTCATTTGATTTTTTTTTTTTTTAATATCTGAATTCATATTTGCTACTTCTGTAGCCTAATATTTAACTTGATGTTATCTTATTTTCAAATGAACAGTTTAGAGATTATTTTGCAAAATAAATGCTGCTTTGATAATAAGTAAAGAATTTAGTTTACTGTTTATTATGGAGTTGAAAAATGTTTTCCTAGCATGCTTTAGCTTTCAAAATGCACTGTTCTTTAATATAATAATTTTTTAATGAGATTATTTGCATCAATAAATTAAAAATGTTATGTAAAGAGAAATTTAGTTAACTTTTAGCCCCAAGTTTTAATTGATGCAAGAGATAATTATAGCACTTGAATTGTAATGTGGAAAAAAAGATTAATCTTTATCTGATGTTAATTTCAGTAAAACAAGATTGAATCCATTTCAGGATGCTGTAGATGAAAAGGAACAAGAAATTTGAAGGGTGAACTATGTAAAAATATAGGAGAATGGAGGTTGAAATTAGATTCAGTAATTAAAATAATGATTTTATGGAATTATGAATTCATCATATATTTTTGTGTATAAGCCAAGAATTTTTGGAAATTTTTCTAAAACTAAATTACAGGGATTGGCTTATGTACAGATCCATTCATTTTGCAAAAGACTTAAGTATTTTTCCATTAGCCAGGAACAAGCGATGATTGCCAATTATCGCATTTTTTTATTTTGTTTATATTTCAAGTTTATGAAAAAATTTGAAATGAAATGAGATATTTGTTTTATGAAAACCAGTCATTTTATTTTAAAAATTGCTTATAATGCTAGCTTGGTGTATCGTCACTTAACATGAAGAATATGATATTGATAGAATTTGCACCCCGTTTTTTTCCATTCTCAAACTTATTTTTCATTTACAGAGAAATATGAGCAGCCAAATTGTTGTTAGAATTTTCATCAAATATGATCACTGGTAGTCTGAAATTTCTCATATAAGAATTTCTCGTCCCTCTCATCTTTCAGACAAAAAGTAAATTGTGCAAAAAATAAGACTAGTACAGATACTACAGATCATATACAAGAAAACAAATGAATAGGAAAAATGTGCTAGCTTCAGATAGGGTTACCAGAGTTAAACCTATCGTCTCTAATGTCTACTCGACAGCAATTTGATTAGAAAATAATCCACACATTATACCTGCTTTGCAACATTTTAATCCTCGTGGCAACATTACTTGAATATTGCAGGAATTTTTTTTTCCATTTTGGCCTGTATTTGAATTTTAAATTTTGGATAAATTTTCTAAGAAAAAACACTCTCTTGGTTTATATTTTAAAATATGCAGTAAATTTCAGTTTAAAGTTGTCATAATGGAATATAGTATTGTTCAAGAGTTTTTAGTATTAGATGAAATGTTTATGTTTTATGTTTGTGGCTTCATATAAAAATTACCAACTATTAACTTTTTCAGAAAAATATACATTTTTTCGTGTTTTTGCATTGTGCTTTTTAACCATGCATCACTGAATTTTAATTTTCAAACAGGAATATGATAGATTCATAAGTTGTCAGAAATTAGCAGCAATGTTACAATTTGGATAATTGATGACCATTTAATCAAAAATTAGCATATTAATTTCTGTGCTTTGTTAAACCAATTCATTGGCCAAATAGATGAAGTCAAGTAAAACTGGTAGTTTATTCTATGTTTGATTACTAATGAACAAATAAACTAGTTCTGTTTTTATGATTAGATAAGCTGGTTGAAAAATTTCCTTCTTTGCAACATAGATATAAATAAGTTTCTCTTCAAATGTCACTGCGGAGGCTTTCTTTCTACCTAGATATAGTGCCCCCCTAATGCTTTGTTACAATTAGCTCAACAGATTTATACTTCTTTATGAGTGTGTATTATGATATATATTTTATACCTATCCTGAAGATGTAGTTTATTATTTTCAAAACAGATTTATTAAGCATTACATGTTATCCATCTGATGGTCACTGTGAAAATAGATTATATTCTTAAACAGTTTTTAATTGAAAAGCTCATCAGTATGATAACTTTGCTGTAAGAAAATAAATTGCCTTTGGAAACATGTAAATTTTTTTTATCATATGAAGTAGAATTTACTGAAGATATTAAGAGAGTTTCATGTTTAAAATATATTGCTAAAAATTCCCAATCAGCTTTTAAACCAATGGATAGCAGTATCATTTAATATGGAAGACAAAAATATTAATTATCATAGTTAAAAGTAAAAAAAAAAAAAAATTGTGTAAAACTTCTGAATTGGGTAGACTTACAAGAAACCGAAAATACAATTACAGGCTAAGAGTGTTGCCATCTTTATTTTGTCTCTGGAAATTAGTCAGTTCACTTGTTAAGTATTGTGTATGAGTAACAGCTATAGATATGAATCTGTTTGAAGTAAAGATCTAATTAAGTAGTGATTTAATAAAAAACAAAATTTACTTCCAATTTAAATAAATAGATGATAATTCTTGGAATTTTTCATAAAATGGTTTATTGAAGAAAAAATACAATAAAATAAATTTCAATAGCATCTGTTGGAGAGGAATCTGACAAAATGAAATCGTAATTTTAGTATTCATAATACAGTAATTGTAGAATAAAATTTTATAGCTATACTTTTTATGCATTTTCTACAGAAAAAGATTTTAGGCTTTCTAGGCAATATTCTAAAAATGTGTAAGTTCTTATTGCACGTGAAAGTTAAAAGATTTCCCGCTTTTTTAAATGTGTTTCAGGGTAAAAGTACAACAAACAAGCAAAAAACTCTTGGCTCTTTGGCAGGAACAGTGTCTGAAATCTTGCTTGCAAGCAGCAAACAAATTAGATGAGTGGTACAGGTAAGTTTTAATGTTTTAATAGTTTAAGTATTTCATCCTTTTTGTTGGAATAATATTGTATATAAGCATAAATACAATGATGATTGAAGGTGCATTCTGTTCAAATGATACTGCATGTAAACGTTTGAGGAGATAAATTCTATTTTCCTTATCCTGTCTTAACATTAAGGGTTTAAGCTATCACTTGGTAAAAATAATTCATAATTATATTAAAATATAAGCATTAGATAGTCTTCTTTTTAATCAAATTGATGATTTGATTAATTATGCACTAGAAAATTTCAAGGAATTAAATTTTGAGAATCATTATTTTTCTGTAGTATTAATGGTTACATTAATAAATTTTTGGTTTCCTTTCACATCAAAGAATTTAAACATAATCTGTAATTTGAATATTACATATATTGGCCAAACTAAGAAAATGTTAAAATTTCACATTAAAGACCACAATCTTGTGTAAGGGCTGGGAAAGTATTGTATCATCCGAAAAGTTCTGCAGTTTTTCAAATCAAAGCTCATTTCCCCCCCCCCCCCAATTGTTTTTCGCCAGGGATGTTGTCAATGATTTTAAGGATTTATATCAGTTTAATATGAAATTAGATCAGTAAAAGCTAGATTATCTGGAAAGCTCGGAAAATACTGAATTCCAGATACCAGAAAATTCCAGATAAAATTGCAGTTTGTGGTAGAAAATCCAAATGAGTGGAAGAAAAAAAAAATTCAAAATTATAAAAAGAGTCATTTTATTTGCTATTGGTTCGAATATCAAATGTAGACATTTAAATTATGGGATATTTTGAAAGATTAAATCTGATGTGAACACCATATGAACTCTTTCTATGGCCTATTAGATTATATACATTTTTGCTGCACTTTATTTAAAATTATTTCCATGAATTATTCTAATTTGAATCCCTCAAGGCAAATTGAAAATGCAATAAAAATTGCAAATTTTGAAATTAAATATCCCAGTCAACTTTTGTCATACGGGAGTCAAACTTCTTATAATTTTATTTTTTTTTTTATCAGAGAGGGCATTTCAGAATAAACACCAAAGTAAAATATATTCAATAACAAAACTCCATCAATCATGAAAATTGGTAGAGATCACACTGAACTTATGTCAGTCATTTCGGCAGAAGTTTGAAGGAACAGATCGCTCTTTATATAGTTAATCTACATATATAAATTACAGATATAACATATAAAAAACCTAAACTGCTTGTCATGATTTTTCACATTGCACAGCCAGTGTTTATTCATTTTCATATAAGTTTCACTTTTGTTGATGCCAGGATCCCATAAACTTGAAAATACTCAATTGCATGCTATTTCGTTCGAAGACAGGTTCAAATTTAATTAAAGTTTTCAAAATGTGATTAAAAAATAGATAAACAACAATTAACTTATATTGTTTTATAAAAAAATTGAATTGGCTTATTGAGAATTAATCAGATTCGTGGGAAGAGAAAGCATTATGTCACATTAATCTCATTATTGGTGCTACACTTTTGGCAATAGTTTTTCTTATATTCAAATCGTAGTCTTATTTGTACTTTATAACAGAGTTATAAATCTCTTTTTTGCTTATTTTACATTAAGAAAAAGTTTCTAAGAATCAAAAATATTTTGGTTACTTGAGCTTTTTGGCTAGTGGAATGCCAGGATAGTCAAGCTTTTAATGTATGTGCAATAAAACATAAAATAAAAATTTTTAAATGTTCCATACCACTGCATACATTTAAAGCTAATTTGCTGTCAATTTTTATAACTCAATATAGGTTATATATTTTACAGTTCTTTTATATTCAGTTGTTTTTATTTTAGTGGTATGCAAGCTACAATGGTGCAATGTAGATGCTTAGAAGAAGATTTGAATTCCACTAATTTGGTGGTTAAAAACTATTCTTCTTCTGTACAAGAGGTAAATATTAGTTATACTAGTTTTTTTTTTTTTTTTTTTTTTTTTTTTAATATTACAATATAGTTTTGTGTATGTGGCTTATTCTGTAATGTCTTTATTAAAAGTGGTTACTTTATGTTACAGAAATATGTTATATTATTAAATTGTAAAAGAGAAATTGATGCTTAAAATTTTAGGGGAAAGTGAAATATTTTACTAATTTTAATAGTACAATATCAACACTAATTTAAAAAAATATAAATTTGATATACACTATGCTTCAACAATTTTTATAAATAAATTCATATAAAATTGAAAGTTCAAGAAAGCAAATTTCTTTTATTTTAAACCTTCAGTATACAACTTCTGTCATTTTTCTAAGTAAAATTTTTGTAAGCAATTGGACATTCATAGGGCTGCTTGATTACTGTTTAAATCTCTAGTTATGGTTTCCGGAAGCTTTTTAATGTTATTAAAATAATGAGATAAGACCTTTGAGATAAGACTCCATTTTAAGGAAGACAAAGTCTGCAGTGCTAGAATTTAGTGAATAAGGGATAGGATTGAGAATTGTGTCACTTTTTCTAAAAACTGGTTAATGAGAATGGAGTTTGATTGCATTATTTGCATGCAGCAGGAACCAATTGTTCAATTCAACTTTTTTTTCAGGCCTAATACTCCAGAAAGGCCTAAAACTCTTTAGAGGTTTGCTCATTCTGTCTTTGTAAAATATTATGGAATTTCCTATTTGTCTTTTGAAATCGGGTTTCTTTTCATGTTAAAAAAGATCACCAACATAGTCTTTTCTCAATGTTTTATCCTGAAGTTTCTGTGGCCTTGGTGGGCCTTTTCCAATTGAAGTATATGATTTCAGTTTTGTCATAAGCAAAGTGCTAAGTTTCATCTCCAGTTGAGAATAAATTTTTATTTTTCTAAGATTTGCAACAGTTTTATGACCAGTGTCTTTACTGATGTTATGCTCATTAACTGTCATTTGAAAAGTCTATTAAATTTTTCAGCTACAGTTTTCAAACTATTTCAATGCTCTCATTCATTTGAGACTGTGATGGGGGGATTAGTTCTAGGTTCACCATAATTTTTCCGTCAAATTACAGAATCGTCTGTGCAATGAAAAACATTCATAGTGTTGGTGCTCAATCCGTGTATATTTCTCATAACATTTCAAATTTGTCTGTTGCTCTTTTTCTCACTAAGCAAAATGTTATTGCCATTCTTTGCTCAATTTTCAAATCTATGACAGCAGATGTTCACTGGATCAAAGCTAATAATTAATTGCATGGAAGATTTTTTAGGAAAAACAAGCTTAGATGTTACAGTTACAAATATTGTCAGATGTCATTTGGTAAGTTCGCTGGAATTTTTAAAAAAAATTAGTCTTAAAGCTTTGTAGATATCCTCTATATGCATTTCTTATTTATTGTTCATGTAGTTAGTCATTTTTAGTACATTTTTTTCTCCAAATATTTTGGATGAAAGTGCTTTTTTCATGAAGTATTCTTCCATTATATCTTTTATTTTACACTTTCTGCATTTTATATATGTAAAAAAAATTTTTTTTGATTGATTGATTTAAAAGATACAATTTTTATTTTCATCCATGCGTGATTTGAATGCAGTTTCCTTAGTAGTTGCTGCGTATGGTAGTTTTTTCCCCCTTTGAAATGTGTTTCCATATTATAGATCTGCAAATGACAGATATTTATAGATCAGATATTTATAGCTGGTATTGTAAAATATAAAACAGCACAATCAGCTCTTATTGTGGCTTTCTCAAACAATGTTTATAATCTGATATTTAAAAACTCTTACAAAGTTTGAATTTAGAATAATCAGTACAATAATGTTTTTCTGCTTATTATATTAAGTGGGATACCAGTACGTTAACATATATGTATGTGTGTGAAATATAATAATATAATAGTAAGAATATCATTCTTACTTTTCAGATTTTCTGAACTTTCTATTTGTGTCCATGTTTCCCCCCTTATTATTGTTATATGAAGCAGTTATTAACTGTCATATTATTTGTTAATTTTTTTTAATCATGTAAGTGCTCTGCCAATTCTTTCTCTTCAGGTTAAGATTTTTTTTTTCTTCTCTAAATATTTTAAAACAATCAAAATTTGTGTTTTCCTTCTGAAGAAATAAATGAACCTAAATAGATTGTAATATCAATGAACATTTTTAATGACAGAGATTAATTTAAACATAGTTGCGTACAGCAGAGAGAAAGGGCGAAGAAGTAAGAATGGTATACATATACATACATACGTAATAAACAGTTACGTCATCATTCACCGCACGGATAAACGCGAACGGCGCATGCGTCAGGAGAAGCTCTCTTAAGCTAAACGTCGTATTATAATTTATGATACAACAATCCCCCTTTCGACGTTTGGCGGCTGAAAAAAAAATAAACATTAATCATTTACAGTTTATTCCAATTAATTTACAGCACTTAGAATGTTTCGAAGCAGTCAATGTTTTTGTCAGTACATCAGCAGGCATTTTCTCTGTTGGCACATATTTAACGTTTATTTCATTTCTTTCATAAATTTCACATATGAAATGATGTCTAATATCTATGTGTTTAGTGCGTGAGTGGTATAAACAGCATTTTTCATAAGCTTCTTGCGCACCTTGATTATCACAATATATAATGGTTGGGCATGATCAGCAGTTAAAATTTAATTCTTTAAGTAAACGATGTAAATAAACTGCTTCTTTAGGCACTTTCTGAAAGACTGAATGTAAGCTATGCTTCAGTAGCTTGATAATGCAACAGGTTTGTTGCTTTCATGATTCCCATGTTATTGGACTTCCAGCAAGCTTGAATAGGTAACCTGTATAGGATTTTCTAGTATTAACATCAGATGCCCAGCTCGGCATCGGTATATCCAATAAAGTGCTTTTTCCAGTTCTTTCGAAATTTTAAACAATAATTTTTAGTTTCCTTTTAAGTATCGAAGAAGAACGTGCTTTGCAGCCAACCAGTGTAATTTTCCAGGATTGTTATTAAATTGCCTCAGGTGACTGACGGCATATGTAATATCCGGCCTAGTAAACACAGAAAAGATACATAAGCGAAACCAATTAGATGCCGATAAGGTACATTGTTCATTTCTTCCTTTTCAGTTTCAGAAGGACACATTTCTTTACTTAATTTTAAACTAGGATCTAAAGGAGTTGCTACTGGTTTTGCATCTTGCATATTAAACCTTCGTAGAATGTTATCAAACATATTTCTGCTGAGATAAACTACTAGAATTATCATATTTACACCTCTTGATTAAATTCTATTCCAAGACAATAATGAAGTTTGCCTAAGTCTTCAACATGATAGATTCTTTAGAAAGATAATCTTTAAGTTCAGCATAAAAATCACAGCTATTTGTTGCTTATTATCAAGTCATCTAGGTATAAAATTAGAATTAACTCACCTTGAAGATGTTTTCATCCTATGTAAACACACTTTATCTGATTGGTAATGTTGTAATCCAGAAGTTTTTTAGTTTTTTGTCTAATTTTTCATACCACTTGTCGTCCACTTTGTTTCAAACCATAAAGAAAGTTTTGCAAAGCATAAACATAATCAGGATTATTTTGGTTTTCAAAACTTTTAGCCTTGTTCCATGAAAATTTCTTCTTTTTAAATTTCCGTTAACATAAGCCATAACAAAATCTAGTTGATATAACATAAGTCTTGTTCAGCACTGCATGCAATCACAGTTCTTATAGAGCTTGCTCTGGCTACTGGAGCAAAAGGTTTGCAGTGAAAATCAATTTGAGGTTTCCTGTGCAAATCCTCTAGGCAACTAATCGAGCTTTTCTCTTTTGAACTGTTCCATCTGCATTATATTTCGTTTCTAAGAATGCCAGCAACATCCTATTACCTTTTCGTTGTTGTGGTCGCTTTTACTTAATTTTCCATGCATCCATTTTTAACAAGTGCTTCGTACTTTCACTTTGCATTAGCCTTATGCCCATTCTTCAGCATATCTTCCATTTAATGCTTCTTCTAATGTTGGATTTGTATCTTCTTCTTTGTGCTTTTCTATGTTTATATTGTGGTACTCCTTTTTTGGTCTTCCTGAATTCCCAATCTTGACTTTTCTTTGGACCGACCTCGCCCCCCTTTTAATCTGCATTTCAGGTAGTGCTTCGGAATCAGAATCTTCATTATCAGATGATTCAGCAGATGCTTCTGCCATATTTGAGGGGTCTTCTGTTATTTCATCAGCCGCGATATTTGCTTTACATTCAGAAGGTTCTTCCTTCTTTTTATCAGGAATATTTTCGAGAAATAAAACTTCTTAAATCTTTATCATAATTAGTACAGTTTTCAAATTCATCAATGAATCTAACATCTCGGCTTATAACGATTTTTCTGGAAATTTTTATTCCACAGCCTTATATGCTTTCGATTCATTTGAGTATCCTACAAAGATATGTTCTTCTGATCGAGGATCAAATTTCCCTTTAGACCTTTTATTAAGTAACGAAAACATTTCTGTCCGAATACTTTGAAAGTGAGATACAGTTGGCTTGATGCCAAAAAATAACTCATATGGTTGTTTTGTTTACTCCCAGGCTTCGATTCGGGCAACGATTACGAATATAAACAGAACAATTCAAGTTCAATAGTGGAAAAAGGAAAGGAAAGCTTCAGCCCAAAAAGGATTGGGGAAGATTACTTTGTAGTAACAAACATCTGGCCATTTCAGTTAAAGTGCAGTTCATGCGTTCAGCTCTCGAATTCTGTTGAGGAGTCATTGGTGCAGAGAATTCTCGTTTAATCCCGCATTCTTGAATATATTTATTAAATTCTTCTCCGCGATATTCGAAAACCGTTATCAGTCCGAAGGATTTTTATTTTCTTTTCCTAGACGATTTTCGAACCGCAGCTTTGTATTTAATGAATGCATTTTTCACTTCATCTTTAGTTTTAAGAAAACTGACTTCGAAATAACGCGATTTGTCGTCTATGAAAGTAACAAAATAACGCGAACCAGGCATGGGATGGATGGGACTCTCATAGGTCCACACAAGATCTGAGTGAATCAAGTTCAGTAGTTCATTACTTTGAAATTTTGATTCAAATTTTCATGAAAAGCTAAAGGTTGCACAGTTTGTTTACCTCGGATACAGACTTTGCAGTCTTTTAGAGATTCAGTGTTATTAAAATTTTAATTTCTAACCATGTTATCAGACTTAAGTCTTTTCAAATCAGACTCATTTAAATGACCTAATTTAAGATGCCACTTTACAAAATCACTTACCTGTGCTATTGCAGCTGTTTCAGTGCTTGGATGTATATATAATAAAGATCACCATGACGAATAGCCTGCACTAGTATAGATCCATTTGGTTCTATTATTCTAGCCATGTCGTTCTGTAAAAATCACTGAACGATAACTTGCAGGTAGCTTTAGATGTTGACAGCAAATTACATTTTAATTCCGGAACACATAGCACATTTTTGAGTGTAAGTTTAATTGTCTTATTTCCGTTAGGTATGTACTCCGTCATAAGGACAGTTCCAATTCCTGTAATTTTTCTGTTTTGTCAACTGCTAACTTTATGGTTGAATTCGTTCGAGGGTGAAATTCTGAAAATAAACCTTCTGCTCATTGCACATGTGAGATGTACCAGCCACTATCTAAGCACCCATGAGGAGGTCTTCTGATAAGCATTGTTTACAGCTAAACTAATATGCTCTTCATAATTAGAAGCCATCATAGAACCTTGATTTCCCTTATTTGATTGTGCATATTTTCTATCAGCTATTTTCTTTCTGCATTCAGATGAATTGTGCCCAATTTTCGAACAGTAATTACACTTCAAGTTTCGAAAATTTCTTTCAGCAGGAAAATTTTTTGTTTGAATTTACCTTCCATTTTTCATTTTTCTTCTGTTCTTGATTTCTTCTTTTATAATCAGTATAGTAATGCATTCTGTGAATCTTGAGATGTTTCCCTTTTCTTGCTTCCCATTCTTCTAACATTTTGATTTTCAAAGAATTCGGGAGGACTAGGTAAAACTGATCTCTTGATTCGATGGCGCATCTAAAATTTTCAAAATTTTCTTGAATACTATAGAGCAGAAGAATCGATAATAAATCATCAGCTATGGCAATTTCCATTTGTTTAAGCTTATCAACTATATTCGAAGAAATTATTCAAATGTTCAGACATCATTTCGCTTTTCCGCCATTTTTCTAAATAAAAAGCTGTTTTAATAAGGTAGCCTTCTTCGCAGGTCCTTTCGATTCATATACGGCTTTGAGTTTATTCCACACAACATTTGATGTCACACAATGCTTTAAATGACCCAACACAGTTCACTAGGATTAATAGCAAGAATTATATCTGCATGAGCTTTTTTTGATCAGCTTGGAGCCATTTCTTTTCGTCTTCGGTTCCTTCAGCAGGTTTTAGCGTTTTACCGGTCACATAATCCCAATGGTCGTTTTTAATCAATACTGCTTCTATTTGTAATTTCCAACTGTCAAAATTATCTTTTCCGAGCTTTTCTATAGTAGTCAAATGCGACATAATGTAATACAGTCTCTCACAGCCAAAAAAACAAGATTGAGTGCTATAAAAATAGGCTTAACTGAACGCTGATCAGTTCTTACCGTTGATTAGACGTAACAGTTCTTGCACTGAATTAGGCTTAAGAGTTCAATGCTCGAAAACTTCAAAATGTTCATTTTAAAATAAGTATTTTGCTAATTAGGCACAGTTGAAACGTTCCTGGGCCCATAACCATTGAAGAAATAAATGAGCCTAAATAGATTGTAATATCAATGAACATTTTTAATGACAGAGATTAACTTAAACATAGTTGCGTACAGCAGAGAGAAAGGACGAAGAAGTAAGAATGGTATACATATACATACATATGTAATAAACAGTTACGTCATCATTCACTGCGCGGATAAACGCGAACAGCGCATGCGTCAGGAGAAGCTCTCTTAAGCTAAACGTCATATTATAATTTATGATACAACACCTTCTAACTTAGATTTGATCCCAAACTTTTGCACATATTTAGTATCTATTATATAAATATATATATCATTTGTTTTTGAATTTATATTGACCCAAAATTTTTATTTTATTGAAGTAATATAATTAGCAAATGGAAAAATTAGTTATAAAATCTGATTTTGCTGGAAAGTAATTTTTTCTAGTAAATAATAGATAATTTTGCTAACAAGATTGAGCAGTTTATATTGAGTACAAAGGTAAAAAATTTATATCCTTAAAAGGGTAAAAGCTATCAAAAATTCATGGTCATATTGAATGTTTATAAACCTAGCAGGCATGATTGATTTGGGAATTCTAGTAGTGTAAAAAAATATATCAGTAGACATTTTGGGTGAAATTGGCTTTAGAATTACTTTAAACTAAAATGATGCTAAATATTTAGCTGTGTAAATATTTAGCTGTGCTCTTGTAAATTGATTAAAAGTTACATAAAATTATTTTAAAAAATTGTAAAAGAAATAAAAGGCTTAGACACACTTTGATGTCAGAATGATACAACCAATATCAATCTAGTAATTAAGGGTACAATTTGACTAAGTTTAATGGCATTAAAGCATATAAGGCACTTTAAGATCTTTGTTTTAAAAGTTTTCAAGTTTAAAAAAAATTAGTTATATCTGATTTTTAGTTTTAAAATAAAACAATGATTGATTTTTTTTGTTTTCATTTGGGATTAGTTTAGAAATTAATTTTTATCTAATCATTCTTAAGTATCAAGAAATAAAATATCAGCCATTATCTGTTGTGCAAGCTAAAGTTAGTATACTAAACAGTTCTTTTTTTTTTCTTTTAATAAAATAAATAATACAAATAATTTTAAACCGCATTAAATTTTTGTTATTTTACAAATAGTTTTTTTGGGGGTGGTAAATAAAAAGGTGGTTATCAAAGTAATGAAAAAACTAGATATATTAAGAATTCTTTATTAATATGGCATAGGACCACCTTTGGCATGCAATACAGCTTGAATTCACCTGGGAATTCAATCATATAAGTGCTGAATCGTGTATAGAGGAATATTGTAGCATTCTTCATGGAGATATTGTGAAAATTCCGGAAGAGGTGCTGGTGGAATATATCGATTCCAGATCAAACACTTTATAACAGACCATAGTGGTCCCATTATATTGAGGTTGGAGGACATAGCACGCCAAGGTAGATGTTTCACTTCATCCTCAGGTTCATCAAACCATGATTGGACAAATCTTGCTGCATGAATAGGAGCATTATCATCCTGGAAAATTCATCTCTTGCAGGAAACAAAATTTGCATCATAGGATGGAGCTGGTCAGTTAAAGCTTCTCCTCAGTGATCCGTCCCTGCAGGGTTCGATTGGGCCAGCAGAAAACCATGACACCATGATTCATCCTCCTCCATGTATGACAGTTGTAAGGAGACAATCACGGTCATATACTTGTGAAGGTTTTCTCTAAACTTGCACCCACCTGTTTTAGGGAAAAGTGTGAAAGATGATTCATCTGACCATATAACTGTCTTTCACTTATCAATCAGCCAGGTTTTGTGGTTGTGGCACCATTGTGGACAACGTTTGGCATTAACACATGTGACAAGTTTCTTGGGAATTGCTGCTGTGCAGTAAATATTCTGTTTATGAAGGTGCCTTCTGATTGGAATTATTGGCACTGGAGAATCCAAATGCTGATTGAGCTCTGCAGTAACTTTGGCTGCAGTTCTTTTCTTTTTAGACATTACAATCCACTTCAATACCTGTTGGTCTTTCACTCAGCATTTCCTTTCATCCACTATTTTGCTTTGCCGAGCTGAGTGTATGTTGTCATGACTTACCTGTAGACACTGTACCTCTAGATTACACACTGTACCTCTAGAAACGCCCAGTTCCTCAGATGTTTCAGTCACAGTTGCTCCAGTTAGTTGGGCTCTACAATTTGGCCTCTTTGAAACTCTGTGAGGTCTGACATTTTAGGCTTCTGACAAAAATCCAAACTTATACAACTTTACTAAAGCATTCTTACTACTATGATATATACATCTCATATATATATATATATATATATTAAAAAAAAAGCTAGCTAGGATTATATTTTATTGCTTATGAAATGCATTCTTAAATGTCACTTTTATTCACAGGTGCTTCCATTATTTTGATAATCACTTGTATATTGCTGTTACAGTCTTAATAGAAGAAATGATGAACGATATATTTCGTAACGTCAAATATTTTTCTGTGAAGCAGATGAGTAAATATAAAGAAGTGAAAAAAGCCATTTAATAGATTTCTTTTTTTGAATTTCATATTATGATCCTTAATTTATTTTGAATTGTAATTATATTCTTTTACATCATTTACAGTATACATTAAAGGTTACTTCTATACTGTGGCTTCTGATGTGTATCATTTTATTCAAATTTTTCATTTACTTATCAAATTTTTTACTTGATGTAAGGTGTATTATTATGTAATGACTTATATATGCTTATATCATTTTATGAAGGTCTATTTAAAATTTTCCTGATTATATAATTTAATAGCTAATTTTTGGCTGTCATTAATTATCAAGTTATAAAAATGCTCATAAATAATTTTCACTGAAATTTTGTAAATTTTCTAACTTTTAATGCATAACATATTTTTGGAAAAGGCTGTTTATATTTTGATTTTTTTAAACCATTATTTTTACTGTATTTTGTACTGTTACCAATAGTGTAATGATAATTTATTATTAAAAAATGTGCATTATTGTATGGGCTGCTTTCACTTGTAATTGTCAATTTTCCTTTTAATAGGTACTTTAAATGTTTATGATTTTTATTTACAAATTTTATTTTTGTAATAAGTTTTTTTTCTCCCTTCAGGCTGAATCTGAAATTTTCAATATTAGTGAACAAATAATATCATCTTTGAAATCAGTAGGAGTATGTGAAACAGCTGTGAACAATCATTCCCAAGAGTTAAAGTCTCAGACAGAATATTCATTGACAAATCATGAATATCCAAAAAAGAAACCAAAGCATTCATCATATCGAAATGTTTTATCTCAGTAAGTAAAAAAAAAGAAAAAATGTATTGCTAAATAATAGACAAGCATAAAATCTAGCAGAAATATTCGAGGTTACATGTTATTAAAGAAAAACCTTTAAAAAAATTAACCATTAATGGATATTGAATCACTTTATGCAGTGGGGGTGACAGTAATTTAGCATGACCATTCCTACTCTGGAAATCAAGGAAATGCCAAATACGAATGAATATTTTAATTGCATTAAATTAAATACTAAATAACAATTAATTATAGTAGAAACTGAATTATCTGACACCAGCTATCTGAATTGCTCATAAGCGTTATTTATTTCAACAAATATCTGTGAAATACAACTTAGCTGATAGTAGCGATGTGTAATTTGTAAACATTGTCTAAAGAATTTTATGTTTGGTAACATCGAATATAATGCTGTTTTCATCTGTGTTTTAGTTGTTCATAAACTAAAATTTGTAATTTTTTACAACTTTTAGTTCTCCTTAAAATCATTGTTTAACCTGAAATTCTTAGGTATGATAATGCAATATCCATATATGCAAATTGGTAAATATTTTGATGAATTACTGTTGGACGCACAAGTCCAAACAATGTTACAATGTCCATTTTACTGCAATTAAGAATTTTTTGACTACTTGTAAGTGCTTGAAATCTTATTTGAATTTATGGCCTCCTGTAAGATCTGTTAGATCATAGAGTTAAGATCATAAGCTATATTGCAAAAAATTCTGCTTAAATCTGCAGTCACAAATAAATTTTTTTTAAAGATCATGCAGAATGTATTTAATCTATTCTGTCCATTCTACCATGTATATACCATATTTCTTTGGCATATTGCCCGCCTTGCATATATTTTCCCTTTGTTGTGCATATTTTTTCTCTGTGAGGGCAATTTATTGGTAAATTGTATTTCCTTAATTATTTTTATTCAGCATATTCAATTTGTATTTGCAGTTCTGTATTAGCATTTCATCTCTTTTACTTTCTCTACCATTTATTATTTGGAACATATTTTGTCTAAATTCTTCATTAAGCTACCTGGACAGAGCAGGTGTTTTCACATTTAAGAAACTTTCAAAGTATATGACTTACCCGTACTTTTATTTTTTACATTCCATCTCATTGTAGCTTTATCTACTGCTGATGTGTTCGATCTTTTGAAAGCTGAATCACCTCCTTCTCCTTCCTTCCTCCAAAGTCTGTCTTGGGAATTGTGGTCAAGTGTCATTCATGTGAGGTGGTAACTGAGTTGAACACATCGTGCTGTCTGACTCAGTTACCATGAGATATTGGATCAGCATCCATCAGATATTGTAATGTTATTTCATTTGTAATGGAGCTGAGTTGTAACAAGGTAACTGAGTTGTAACAACATAACTGAGTGGAACACATTGTGCTGTCTGACTCCGGTTACCATCAGATATTAGTTCAGCATTCATCAGATATTGTATTAATTGTAATGTTAATTCTTTAAAAGAAACCTACATTCTTATTAAAGAATGTTGGTTTCTTTTAAAAGAAATAATATTTAAAAAGAAATAATCTTTAAAGAAATAATATTGTGATATTTAGCAGTAGTTTATTCATGACTACTTGTAATGTTTTATGTTCTTACTGTGACCATGTTCTTCAGAAATGAAATTATTTGCATAATTTTCTGCTCTTGATTTTTGATCAATAAAATTAGTTAAAGGAAATATGGTATATCTAAAAGGCAGAGAACTATAATCAATGAATTATACAAAGTAAATTTTTTTTTTCATTTAATGTTTGCCATTTGTTATTCAGAATAGTATCTTAACTATAAAATTTCAAAATACCTATGTGTATATACCAGGTGGTTATAATTAAACTTCCTCTATAAGTGGCATCAGACAGAGCAAACGGGTGAACAGAATGCAACAAAATTTGTATATGGACTATACACGAGATGCACTCACGGAATTTCGAAAAAAAAAAATTATTAGTTCCAAAATGTCCACCAGAGGGTGCCTTTTCAGGAACAAAATGGAATATAGAAACAGAATTATGTCCAGAACAAGAATTATGAGTAATAAAATGCAAAACTGGTAAAAGCTGTCAGTTGTAGAAGAAAAGTGTTCAGATTTGCATGCTTAGAAAGAAGAGGAAGCTGATGTTTAAGTTGATGTTTCCGGCTGTACTAATGACAGTCTCTTTAGTTGGACGTACATTGTTGGTGAGGCTGTTTTACAAAAACAAGGGGAATGCTTCTGTTGCAGTTCGTGAATTTCATCATAGAAAGAACCTACGGCGTGGACAAATGTCTACTAAAGGTATCCGGGCCATGATTAAGAGATTTGAAGAGACAGGGAAATTAGGAGTTCAACCTAGAAGAGGCTGTAAACATGTCACTCCGGCACTTTTTGATGCCACCAAGACAACTGTTGACGCACAGTCACAGACATCAAAATTTGGGGCCGTAGCATGCATGCAGTTTCTCGACAGACAGGCTATTCTTACAGCATTTTCGAAAAGTATTCAGAAACATAATGCACTACTTCCTATACAATATCCGCCATATCCAGGGGCTGCTTGATAGGGACAAGCCACAACATCTCTCATTCGCAGTCAGTTTTCTCATTAGAATGACTGTAGATCTGTCATGGCCTTGGAATATTTTGTGGAGCGAGGAGGCTCATTTCTACCTCAAAGGGACAGTCAACACACTGAATTGCCACATTTGGGCTGTGGAACATCCGTGGATCCACACTAGAATTCCCGTAGTCTCCAAAGGTTACTGTCTGGGGTGCATTCATGGCTGCATTCATCCTTGGGCCATTCTTCTTTGAGGAAACCAGTGAACGTGGGCCTGTCAAATGTTCCGTTATGGGCTGTTGGTACCATGGCATGCTGCAGACGATTATTGTGCCTCAAATACAGCAAAGCTGGGTCCTTACGTCGACCGTTTTCATGTAGGATGGTGTGCCCAAACATATCCATGGGTCTGTGAAGGCACTATTGCTCCAACACATTACAGAAAAATGCGTTATTAGTTTCTCCGTTCCTAATCCATGGCCACCATGTTCGCCAGTGCAAGATGTGCAAGATGGTGAATGACTTATACAACTCCATAATGCTTAATATGCAAAGCTTCATACAACTCCATAATGCTTAATATGCAAAGCTTCAATTACAACCTACTATTGAACACACTGTCCATCGAATTGAAATTTTGCAGGTGAATGAGGGTGGTCACGTGGAGCACCTACATCCCTACATCGTCCTGGGCACAATTAACAACTGCTCCTATTGTGCAATTTTGTCCTAATCTTTTCGTGTTTCTGCAAACTGAACTGTTTTTATATCTCCCTGACCTATATTTAATGTGGTTCGATGACAAGGTGATCAGAAATTATTCAATAAATGCTAATATTATTTCTGTATACCGTTTTGGTTTTTTATCATGTTAAATTTCCTTTTTTTCCTGAAAGGCACCCTCTGGTAGACATTTTGGAACTAAAATTGTTTTTTCGAAATTCCTTGAGCGCATCTCGTGTATAGCCCATATACAAAATTTCGTTGCATTATGTTCATCTGTTTGTGCTGTAGGATGCTGTTTATAGAAGAAGTTCAATTATAACCAGCCATTATTATATATATATAATGTGTTTATACTACAAATTCTCATAGTGAAAAACCCATTCTTTAAAATTAGAAATTCTAAAAAGATTTTTATTCTGTTTATTATAAGCAACATTTTGAGATCATCTTTTGATAAAAATTAAAAATTTTACATGATTTATCATAAATGTCACTTTATCGTAGTGAGGGTATACATATTTTTGTTTTCAGATGACAGGAATAAAAAATCCCAATTTCTTTTTTCTTGTGCATTTGAAAAGTTTTTGTCTGTAAAATAATTTGACGAATGATGAATAAATATTGATAATCAGATAATTTATACCTGGTTTTTGGTAGCTTTTAAACCTACCTGTTAGATAATATGCTGATTAACTTGTTTCATTGAAGTTGTTTATAAGAATTAGATTTTTTTGAGTTAATTTGTAAATAAAAGAAATTAAAGGCAAGTAAGAGTATTAAGATGATGCTATTCATTTTCAAATGCAGGTTGCAGAATTTAAAGAATGAGAATTCATCTTTATGGGAAATAGCTGCAGAAAATTCTGCTATTATTGAACAGTAAGTATTAATATTTTGCATTATGTAAGTTGATATATTCTGTTTATTTGGTCAATTTTTAATTCTTATAATGCAAAGTAGATTTTTCTGAATTTTCTGTGTCTGTAAAGTTGTGGCCCCCTTTTTTTGTTATAAGTGGGGGTGGGCATTAAATTGTAAAATAGTCCATATTTATTTAATCCCCTCTTTCTGAAAAATAGAAAAGTATATTGAAGTACATACGAGACAGCTTTCCTTTTTCAAAGTACTTCCCCTCTTAGGAATGAAAGAAAACATTATAATGTAAACTACGTATCATTACAAAAAGAAATGAAATGTGGCATTGTGATATATAAAATGTTTAGTATTTTAGCAAGAAGTAAAATTCCTCTTTTTATTCAAAATTTATTTTATTCATTTGCTTCAATGTTATTTCATTAGTGATCCTAGGAATACAAACACACACATATATATAATTCCTTTACTAGGCAAAAAGCAAAACTAAAATTATTGTATCTTAAGCTGAAAAACTATATTATGCAATTTTTTGTCAAAGCTCTTGTAAACAATTTTTAGGGTACAGATAAAGAGAATATACTGGCTAAAATTTCATAATTTAATGCTGACAAGATCGGTAATGGTATGAAAGATATTTGGTTTTCCACCAAAAAATTTCTTAATAAAGTTAGGAGGAGGGGGGTGGGAAAACAATATCTTTAGTAAAGTAAGTAATCACCACCCAAATCTATGATTTTCTGCCAATGTTTTGTTAGTTTTTCAATGCCTTCATCCCAGGAAATTGGTGGCTACGAGTCCAAAAACAGATCAGCTCATTTCAGACCTCTTGTGCAGAACTGAAGATAGCACCAGCAAGATGTAGTTTCAGGTGTGAAAAAGGGTAGAAGTCCGAAGGAGCGATGTCGGGGCTGTATGGTGGGTGTGACAGAAGATCCCATCTGACACCGTATAGATTCCAGCCAGTGAATGGAGACACATGTGGTGTTGCATTACCTTGATGGAACATTACTTTTTTGTGCCGGAACTCATCCATGTTTTTCCTTAATAGCAGCATCAACACGGATCAGCATCTTGCTGCACACCTCACTGTCCAGGGTTTTTTCTCAGTTACTGTTTGTGGATAATACCAAGGCAATCCTGCCAGATACAAAGCAGGATCATTTTGTCAGTTAAATTGTGCTTTGCAACGCTGCTGACGGGCTCACGAGAATCAGATCAAGTTCTATTCGGCCTCTGTTGATGAAGTAAATCCACTTTTCATCACAAGTGATGATCTGGTCCAGAATTTTGTCGTTGTGTTGATATTCGAGCAGATTAGTGCAGGCCCGAACACATTTGCCATCTGCTTGAGTCAGCTCATGTGGCACTCAGCCACTGAACTTTTACATCATGTTTGTGCAATGTGTAGCACGACAAAGGGACATGGCACTAATGTTTAACTTCATAGCAAGCTCTCGAGTGGTTGCATACTGATCTTCTTCCACAAGTTCTCACAAGCATGCCTCATCAACATCAGTAGGACGGCCAGAGCACTCTGCTTCTTGAATGTTATAGTCCTTGTTTCTGAATTTTTGTTACCAAACCTTCACAGTGTCATATGCTGCAACATTTGTACCTAAAGCTGTACACATGATTTGGTGACATTCTGTGGCTGACTTTTTGCAACAGAACTGGATGTAAATGATGATTGTAATCTTGTAGTGCGATAGTTCCATTTCAGACGCCTTGTACTTAATGATATTTCTTTTCAAATTTCACAGCATTCTAAAGCAAGTCTTTCTTTCAAATGCCAAAAAATCATTTGACAAAATATGATTAAGCATACCAACACAAACTGTTTGCGTAGACAATATATGCAGTGGCAGGAAACTTTCATTAAAATCCAATATGTGATTAAAGATTAGTCAACAGATGTCTCATACCTATTCACCATAGAGGGTTCTTGTTACACATTTCTCCCCTCACATTACATTAAGTTTTTTTACAGTGACTGTGATCATTTACTTGGCTATGACAATAAAGAATGCAGCACATTATTAATAGTACATTAAGCAGCTAAACCAGAATGAAAGGACCAATGGGGAGAAAATCAGTCATTCAGAAATTTGACTTCTTAAAAAAAATTAGAATTCATTTTGAATTTTATCTCCACTCTCATCTGTCATGTAGTTAAAGCTATAGGTTTATTTTGAATTATTTGCCTTGTTCCTTGTATTTTTAAAAGCACAATGTTTTAAAAATTCTATATTGATATTGAAGTTACTAAATTACCATGATTATTTTAAGTCTAAGAATCCTTTGTGTTAGTTTTAGTTATACTTTAAGTAACTACTTTTCCTCCTCTTAAAGCATTTCTATGACTTGGCTATGACAATAAAGAATGCAGCACATTATTAATAGTACATTAAGCAGCTAAACCAGAATGAAAGGACCAATGGGGAGAAAATCAGTCATTCAGAAATTTGACTTCTTAAAAAAAAATTAGCATTCATTTTGAATTTTATCTCCACTCTCATCTGTCATGTAGTAAAGCTATAGGTTTATTTTGAATTATTTGCCTTGTTCCTTGTATTTTTAAAAGCACAATGTTTTAAAAATTTTATATTGATGCTGAAGTTACTAAATTACCATGATTATTTTAAGTCTAAGAATCCTTTGTGTTAGTTTTAGTTATACTTTAAGTAACTACTTTTCCTCCTCTTAAAGCATTTCTATGACTTGGCTATGACAATAAAGAATGCAGCACATTATTAATAGTACATTAAGCAGCTAAACCAGAATGAAAGGACCAATGGGGAGAAAATCAGTCATTCAGAAATTTGACTTCTTAAAAAAATTAACATTCATTTTGAATTTTATCTCCACTCTCATCTGTCATGTAGTAAAGCTATAGGTTTATTTTGAATTATTTGCCTTGTTCCTTGTATTTTTAAAAGCACAATGTTTTAAAAATTCTATATTGATGTTGAAGTTACTAAATTACCATGATTATTTTAAGTCTAAGAATCCTTTGTGTTAGTTTTAGTTATACTTTAAGTAACTACTTTTCCTCCTCTTAAAGCAATTCAGATAATTTTACTGGTTGTATATTAGAGTGTTATTAATTGATTAATATCAAAATTATTCAAATTTGTGTTTCATAATTAGTTACATGAATATGTTACAGGAAAAATAACTTATTGCTTATGGTGTTCCTATCTTGAAAATACCTCTGCTTCCCTCTGTCATACAGTAAAGCTCTAAATGTAGGCAAATTTTTAACTATTTACTTTTTCTCTAATATTTTTAAAAGCATGATACTTTAATTTTTAAAGGTTCTGTATGGTATTGAAAGATATGAAGATTACTGGTAGTGAAGAAAACAGTGGCCAGATGACATGATGAAGTTGATAATTAACTCATTCTCACATGTGCCTTTAGTTTTCATTAATTTGTTTACCTGCATAAAACTATTTTTCCAAAAACTGTTTTTTATGTAATGTAAATATAATGTTGTATGAAGTTTTTCATATCTATCTATGCCTGTATAGGCAAGATACATGGTTAAAAAATAGTCTACAGAAGTTGGATTGCTGATGATATGAACATAATATGTGCTCTTCCTGTATGTTGTGCAGCAATTTAAATGTAATTTTTCCGTTTAGAAAATGTAATTGTGTAATTGCATCAGGTAACCAAAATTTGGATATGGTTATAGTTAAATTTTTACCATTTTGGTTCTAATGAATGTAATTTAAAAATTTTAGCTCCTATAAAGTAATTAGCAATTTCATAATATATATTAAAACATGTAATCTAAATTTAATACTTATGAAATGTACAATTACGTTGCAAAATCCATTTTGTGATAATAATGCAGTATTATCTCGTATTATTGCTTTTTTGTCAATTCTTCAGGAATATTAATTTAGGTATATGATTAAATTGTAGTTATAAAATGTGTCATTTTACAAACTGAATTCAAGAATAAACATTTAGGTTGTAAAATTATGCATCTTAGCCTAAAGTTTTATTCTTAAATATTTTAGCCTCACCAGTGATTAAAGACAGATGAATATTGGTAGTTCACTCTGTTTTCCAGTTTATGCCAACAGGCTGGGGTGCATGAGTGGTTTTGTCTATGAGCCATTTTCACTTAAAAAGTCCTGCACCATAGGCCTCCCTAAATAGTCCCTGTGTGCTTTGTCATATTCAAAATAATATAACCTTAAATATTCTGCTAATGAAGCTATATTTATTTATTTATTTTATTCTGGAAGTTATAGCTTACATACATTCTGTATTGAAATTTGTTGAAAATATTTTCAACAAATATTTTGATACTGAATTGTATATAAAGAAAATGGAATGGAAGAGTGTGAAATAAATATTAAATGTTTCGAAGCTGAACATTCTTTAAATTCAACCTTTTTTTTTGAGAAACCAAAAGTGAAATTTGAAAGATATATTGCATGTCCTTCATTATTTATTAAAGTGGTTTTATGTAGATATTTGAAAAACAAGCAGTATGTTTTTATTTTTGTATCCATTTTTTCTAAATTTGAATATGCATTCTATATTTTGAGTTTTTTATGTTAAAAAACTCAAAATATAGATTGCATAAAATCTATATTTTGAGTTTTTATGTTTTTTATCTTATGAATATATATTTTGAGTTTTTTATGTTAAAAATGCCACAATTAAGGGATCCAGAGCATATGTGTTCTGTGAATTATTAGTTTTGAAGCTACATATACAGTAAAAAGTACATATACAGTAAAAAGCCCGTAATGCGGATGTCCATTATGTGGAATAATCCATAATCCGGACCTTAAAGCCACAAACCTTTTTTTTTGTATGCTTTACGCATGCACGTTTAATGTATAGCGGACGGTATAAGCTAAGCTAAAATTATCTTTACTGATTCGAAGGCATTTCAGCTAATGTTGCAGATTGCGCTGTTCCTCTTAATCTTCTAACTGGATCCAGCTTATTATTTTTTGCAGACTGTTAGAGCAATTTTATAAAAATTAAGCTTGAACTTTCGATTATGTCAAGAAGAGTTTTTAATTCTGGAGCTGCCAAAGGATCTACAAAGCGAAAGCCTGTTTCGATGTCCATCAAATAAAAAGTGGAATTGCTGCAAAAAATGGATAAAGGCATATCCGTCTCATAATTATGCGAGTAGTATGACATTGGAAAGTCAATCATCAATCAATTAACGGATGGAAAAATCTGTAGTATGGTTCTAGATCCAGAAAATACCGCTTCCGATAGTGAAGAAAGTGACACAGAGGTTATTTCAAATTATTTTAAAACGAAAAAATTTCGATTGACAAGTTAGTCAGTATTCTTGACACAGCAATTACAGGACTTGCACAATGGAACTATGTTACTGAACATGAAATTATGTCTGTTTATAGAATTAAAGAGAAAGTATTAGCACAAAAAATGAAGCAACTTAAAAAACTTACATTGAAAGAAATGTTTAATAAAGTAAGCAAGTAAATATTAAGCTTTTTTTTTTTTTTTTGTAAATTTTGATACCCTTTAGATCATAATTACTCTTTATTTCATAAATTACGGTTTCATATTTTTAATTGTATAATTTCTGCATGCCATCTTACCAGATTTAAACTAATGATTTATAATCCGAAAAAAACCCCTGATCCGGAAACGCCGAAGTTCCGACGAGTCCGGATTACGGACCTTGTACTGTATTTCATAGAAACTTTTTTAAAGTTTTGCTGTGTGCAAAATTTTAAAATATTAAATTAAATTCCAATAAGTTTCAAAGTCAAATATATATCAAAATACAGTAAATTTCAAATTCGAATGTATCTTTCTGCCTTTTGTAGCATAATGAATTTTTTAAAATTTACTACATATATTTATGAGAGTGGCATTTTTATTTGTGTATGGGTTTATATTATGTTAATTATGCATTTTGCATTTGTGTGCATTATGCATTCATCTTTATATAAAATTATAAGCATACTAGCTTAATACTTGAATTGGCTTTCAAGATAGCATATAAGTCAGTACATATATATTAACTAAGCCTCTCATTCTCATTTAGTGCTTTTTCAAATGGTCTAAATTTCCCTTTATATATTCAGCATTTGAATATTTTTAAATTTAAGCCTATTTTACTGAGAATGACTGCATAATCTAAAAGAGGATTGTTAAAGTGCCTAAGTGAGTTTAAATAAGTCAAAATCGCATTTTGTTGCTCTTGAAAAACTTGATTACCTCCACAGTCTCAATCTTGCAATGTAATTTGTATAACTGCCGCAAATAATAAATATATGTTAAAGCATAATTTATTTCATACAACTAATACAGGATTTTGAAACTGTTCCATCTAGCAGTAAGTTATTATGCCCCTTTTTTATAAAAAAAAATTCATAACTCTCATCTATATGCCAAAATTGAAATTTAATAAATGTATTTAGATCAACTTCACAATATAAAAAATTTTTTATTTATAGTTAAATTACATTTTAAATTTTGTATAAGCTTTTTTTTTTTTTTTTTTTTTTTTTTTTTTTGCAAGGGAAGGGGTAAAATTTTGTAATGACAGAAAAATTCTCCATCCCAAAATATTATCAAAATATTTGATATCTTCATTTTTTGGTATTAACATACTTTCAAAATTTATCAATACAATAATAATTACGTAAACTTGAATCTGTAAGAAATCTTTGAATAGATTTCTAATCAGGATATGAAGAAAAATTATTCAAAATTTTAACTATTTATGTGCGAAATTTTTTTTTATACATTTAGCTGTTGCATATGTAAATATTTCATTTTCAACATGTATTTCTGAAATTCTTCTGAATGAAAATTGCCTTTCAAAGGCTCACTTCAATTTATGTCATGTATTAGCTTATATTACTATAATCATATATTGTGATTGTTTTATATTTAACTGAATGAATTGTGGCCAAGAAAAAATGTTATATTTCTTATTGGATGTTTTAAATATGTATGCATTCCAATCTTTCAGTATTGTGATTTTTTTTTCCAGTATAGTGTTATAAATAAATTTCTGTTTAATTTTTTAAGTTCCATACTCTCATAAAGTTTTGTATTATGCTGATTGTTTTGCATAAAAGTTTGTTCATTGCATTTATAGTATTTTGGTTATTTATGTTCAAAACTGTATCTGAGACAGTATAATTTTTTCCATTATTATTGTGAGTTAGCGGTTCCCATAATTTTAGCATCACCCATAATTTTAGCTCCCTTTTTAGCATCATCTTTCCTGCCCTCAAGCAGCCTCTTAAGTGGTACACTTCTTGGCCTGGAGAGGGCCCACCAACAGCCAAATGGTAAAGTCACTGAACATTGCTAGATTAGTCTGAGGTTCCAATCCCGTGAACAGGTTGGTTGCATGGGCATTTTCATGGTTTTACCCATGTGTAATGTGTATGCGAGCCAGTTTCCCATAGAGAGTCCTCAATGTCCTCCCTTAGGCAGAGATTTCTCAAGTGTTTTGCCGTAATCAAATAAATAAAACCATCTAAGAAGGCTATGGGATATTAGATCTTATGTCAGTAGAGTTTGACATCCAGTATTACCAAATAGAAACAAGCTGAAATATTAAAGATATCCATTTTTATAATTTTCAAAATTTTTTTGATAATTTTACAATTAACTAATGTATTTTCCTGTTATTTTGAAATGTTGATTTTGCATGATTGAATCTACTTTTTCATCTTGTAGATTTCAGTTATTATTATTATTATTATTTTTTTTTTGTTTTTTGTTTATTACACATTATTGTTTCTTTTATTTTTTATTTTTTTATATTTGATACATGATTTATTTGATTGATTTAGAACTGATTAAAAATTTGTAACTTATTGTATAATTAATTAATGTTAATGTATGTTAGGACCATCTTTCCACCATATGAAAAAATCAAAAAATCAAATCGAGTCGGAAAGATATATTGGTCAGCTTTGTTACACTTGTATGCTTTTTAGCATAGAGAATAATTTGTTTGTAGGCAATGAAGAGAGCAGTTTTCTTTTTTGAAACTACATTATAGTTTTTTTTTTTTTTTTAATAATAATAAAAACTTCCCAGTACTTTATTTATTTGTGATATAAAAAAATAGTAATGTATGTTCTTAATTTCATAAAGAGTTAAAAACAATTTTTTTATATTGTTAATGTGCATAATTTCATGGTAAATAAAATATTCATTCTTTTTGATGTTGTTATCTTTGACTGAAATCATTTAAAATTTATTAAGTAAAATTTACTTTAAGAAAGCTTGAATTTTTAAAAATTATACAAAATTCACGTTTTGCATTAACTATACAACATTAGAGTATCTAACAAGCAAAATTAATTATTTCAACATCATTTGATTGCAACAAGTTTTGTTAATTGATGTTCAGAATTGGCAAACAATAAAGTTGTGAAATCTCATCTGATGGGTGGAAGGTTCTGAGACATGTATGCCCTTATATATACAGGGTATCCTATAATTGTTGCAGCAAAATTCTGGGTGAGGTAGGGCACATTATAAGGATTAAGAATTGCATAGGAATACATGCCCAGAAATGTCAGGGGTAAGTGGTAGCAGAGGTAGAAGATGGGAAAGGAAACAAGAGAGTTATTAATTTGAAACATTTATTGGACATGGATACAAATAGTGTACGATAGCTTGAATGTTACAACAGATGCTCAAAGTTTTCACCATCAGATGCCAAACATCATGCCTGACATTGACAGACCATTGATTACCGGACATGTTCACACACGTGGAGTTTCTTTGATTGTAACAGCTGCGTAGGCGAGTCTTGTTACAAGATTCATTTCAGACACAACAGGATTGTGATACACAACACTTTTGATGGCTCCCCACAAAAAGAAATCAAGTCTCGATAAAATTTGATAATGGTGTGGGCCAGGGAACCAGTCCACCACGCCCAATCCATTGATGTGGGAATGATGTGTTCAAATAACTACGAACATCCAGTCCAAAATGAGCAGGCACCCAATCAAGTTGGAACCACATGTTGCACCTCACATTTGGGGGAACACCATCGAGCAAGTTGGGAAGAACCTGCTCCAGAAAGATCAAATAATTCATGGCATTCAACTCTAATGTTGTCAAAAGGCATGGCCTGACTAAGAAGTTGCCGATCACACATTAACTTTGAAGTGTTGTAGTGCCACATGCTGTGTGGGTTTTCTTGAGCCCACAATGCTGATTGTGGTTATTGAATATGCCATCTCTATTGAATGTGGCTTCATCCGTAAACAACACATTAGCTGGGAAATTAACATCATGGGCACTTTCTTGCAAAAATCACTGTGCAAAACTCGCACGTTCAGGATGGTCATGGGGGAGCAGTAACTGAACATTTTGGAGACGAAAGGTGGAAGGACTCGGTATTCAAGACATGCTGGACACTGGTATGAGATATTCTTGATTGAGAGGCAATTGCCCATATGCTGGTCCTTGGATTACTCTCCACTGTATCCAGCACACTTTCTTTTTTCCTTCCCTTTTCTCTTTCTCCAGCACA